ATTGTCCTGACAAAATGGCCGGCCCAACAGAGTGTGCAAGTAGCAACAGCTCCCCTGGTAGAAGATGCCGATGAGGCCTCAGCCATTTCTTCCACATGCAGGGTGCAGGCAGGTAGTGCTTAAGCCGTTGGGTGCGTTGCAACTTTACCAGGGATGTGTTGTCTATGCGGTAGGAGCTGGGTAACTAGATTGTTGAGCTGCCAAACTGCTGGCCTGGCCTCCTGCCGTGCACGGTGAGCAGTTCTGCGTACAGGGCCTGTGGAGAGGGACTGGGTAGGTGATTGTGTACCTTGGTTGAATCGCGGGGTTGCGTAAGAGATTGTCCTCTCCGTTGCAGGCTTGAGATGCTTGCTCTTTCGCACTGTCACAGCCAGCTCGAGGTAAAGGATTGCAATCGGTAGCCGGCAGATACTGTCTTCATCTAGTTCGTGTGTACTTTTGCTTGCGCTGTGACAGTCTCCAATCCTGTAGCTGCCGCCTGTGTTGTGTATATCATGATTTCCGCTGCCTTGGTGCCAAACGAAACCGCACTTCAGTACCATGCCAGTAGAGCAAGGTACTGGGGAAAGGTGAACAGCCTGCCAAGTCTGGGGTATGGGGTTGCATCCCGGTTGAGCTATACGTTATTGCGTAGAATTTGACTGTGAGAGGCGGGCAGATGCTACCACCTGCGGGAACTCAGTTTCACAGCCAGTTGGAGGAAAGGGCTTCGCACGGTCATATGCTCGGTGATAGCCTCATGCGCTCAACTAGGTAGGTGCCTCATGCACTGATGTAATGTGCGAAGTCTGTGTATTCACTGGTACCGACCAAACTGGATCCTGCGACCGCGTTGGGCTCAGGGCAGTGCCCTGACCTGTCCATGGGGACAGGTTTAGCCCGTAGAAGAAGAAGAGAGAGAGAGAGAGATATATATATCTGTATAGGGATATACTAGGGTTATACAGCATACATTGGGGTTATATAGGGGTATATAGGGAGAATGGAAAAGACAATGGAAGCTACTATGAAGGTTTAGGGTGCCCCTACAACGGAGAATCAAATGGACAAGAAAATGGAGAAGGGGTTTAGGGCATGTGAGCTATACTTGAAACTCCTTAAAGGTGTTATCTAGGGATTATAGGGCTTAGCGTTTATGGTCTAAACTCCTTAGAGGGGTTATATAGGGGAGTATTATAGGGGTTGTTAAGGGGGATGTTAGGAGTTTAGACACTGGCTCATGTAGGGATTATGTGGGAGAAATGCTGCATATAAACTGGGGATTCACAGGAACCCTTTTTGTTCAGGGTTATGTTGCTTGTTGTTCGTAGGGCAGGAATGCAGGGTGTGGGGAATTGATAAGACAACGGACATTATGGTGCGCCTGGCGATCATATACGGGCTAGTACAATGATCCCTTCCTCCGTTTCCTACTAACGACCAGTAATTAAGGACCGTGGTGTCAGCGGCCACAATCGTTGAGTCTTCGTAGTAAGAAAAGGATGCCATCGCAGCCTAGGGAGCGAGCAAGCAGGAATTTCGACAGTTGTAATCCTTCCTGCTAGTGAATAAGAACACCCCTGCCCCCTTATGAGAAATATCCAACACATTTGTATATTTGAGGAATATGCATTCTAAAAGGCGAGTGAGGGTGTTTGTTATAAGGGGAACATTTGAAGTGGTTGCATGGTGTGCAAGTTTGCAGCTGGTTGAGGGTTTGTTCATGCATGGGATACCAAGGATGACTACAAATGAGTGTCCAGATTTACACTTTCTTCCGCAGTGGCATTTCAACTAGCTTCGGTGCAATTGGGTGCAATGCAGTTGCACGTTGTTTTGCATATGCCGAGGAGTCTTGCGTTATGTAATGGACAAAACAGAGAGATGCATGTTCTGACATGTTTCGGCCGGAGTTGTGCAACGGTTTAAAAATGAGTTCCGCAAAGCAGCCATAACAGCAGGGGTTCAGAACTGGAGACCCGCCAAGGCCGACCTCCATGTCTTCTTTTACTTGGGCCTCACTTGAGAACGCTTCTGCATGAAGTCAAGAGCACGGAGGGACTCCCCAAAAGTTTCAAAAGCAGCAGTTCATGTTTTGAGACAACCTGGGATTGATTGCCTTGCTTGCTTGCGTGTGCGGGTTGCAGGCTGATACGGCTCATTGGATTGCTCGAGGAGTGGCTTGGATCGAGATTTGCATGGGAGGCTGCTCTACGTGAGTTTTGTCCAAAGAGATAAGAGGCAGTTTCCCCAAAATGGGGGGAGCCCAATATAGGCCCCAAAGTACTATAATCCTGGGACCCCAAAAAGCACCCCTAATTCTGGGAAACCACCAAGAGGACTCCTGCAGTATGTCTAGACCCTTCTGGACATCATAGGGACACTGTTTATTCCCGACCGGAGTCCAAACTACATCCCGTATTTGGCATGAGAACGAGCTAGTGACCAGAAATGCTAATGGTAAGGACTCCCTAAACCCAGGCGCTTGTGAGAAACCTACGCGTTGAGGTCCAATCAAGATCAGAAGAGCCAAGATAGTGCACTGTTGTTGTTTCAAAGTCCTGTATGCCACTGCCGCAGCGCCACCGCCGCCATAATCTTGACAGGTGTAGTTTTCAGGATTTCTGTAGATTGCTCAAGGCGTCAGAGACGCTATGTAAGGTGAGGCTGCATGCGGTTTGTTTTATTTACAGAAGGGACTGCCATGGGGC